CACTGGCCCCAACCAGTGGCTTCCGTCGATGGGCACCACCAAAAGCTTCCCACCCTCAGCCAAGGGCCACAGGAGCAAGAACGCCACGACCCAGGAGGCAGGAGGATGGGATCCTGGGTTTGAAGAAGCCATTTCCCTCCTGCTGTCAGCAGAGCCTCAAACAGCCACCAAACTGCTGCAGGGGACGAGGAGGGAATCAATCTTTGGGTACTTTGCACTTTGACTTCCACTAAGGCACGGGTTTAATTTTTAACAGCCTGTTTGTGGGCAGAAAGGAGGGTCACTCTGGCTGTGGGTAAAGGTTGGGTTTATCTTCTGCACGTGGTGGTGGCTTTAAGCACCAGGCACTGCATGGTGAAGCTGGATGCTTGAATCCAGGACTCAAATGCCTGAGGGAGGTGTCCAAAAATTGGCCGTGAGTGGCCCTGAAAGGCTGAACCAAGCCATGAATGGGAGGTGGCACCCAACCGACTGACACCCCATCGATGGGGAGCTCCCTGCCCTGAGCCTGCTCGGCTGACTGGCCACAAACCCTGGCACAGAACCACTGACCTTTGGGCTGCCTTGTGCTCTCCGGGGCCGAGCAGGAGGCAGTGATTGCCAGGGAGCTGATACACAGCCAGATAAGGTTTATCTCCAGGTTTGTTTATCTCCAGGTTTGTTTATCTCCAGCTTTGTTCCCCTGTGGCAGCTCTTATCGAAGTGAAAGCCCCAGGGTAGCACAGGGGATGGAAGCTGAGCAGTGACTCCTGCTGCTGCAGCACCACCTGGGCATGAAACCCTGAACAACACCTGGACCTGCCCCCCCTGCAGAGCCCCCCAGGATTCACATGAGATGAGGAAGGTGGGTGGGTAGGCACAGTCCTGAAGGCTTCTGTTTTCTCATCATCCTCTTAGATCCTCTCTTACACCAATTCAGGGGGAAAGTGTTCCCTCTGCTGTCTCTGACTGCAGACCCCTGGTTCTGGGGTATTAATCCATTCAGCCTGGAGAAGAGAGGGCTCTGGGGAGACCTGCTGGTGGCCTCCAGTGTCTGAAAGGTGCCTAGTAGAAAGCTGGGGGGGGGACTGCCAACAAGGGCTTTTAGTGATAGGATGAATGGTAATGGCCTCAAACTGGAAGAGGGGAGATTTAGATTAGAAATTAGGAGGAAGTTCTTCACTCTGAGGGTGGTGAGACCCTGGCCCAGGTTGCCCAGTGGATGCTCCATCACTGGATGAGCTCAGCACGAGCTGGGATGGGGCTCTGAGCAACCTGCTCTGGTGGGAGGTGTCCCTGCCCATGGCAGGGGGTTGGACCAGATGACCTTTAAGGTCCCTCCCAACCCAAACCATTCCATGATTTGGTGATTATCAAGCTCCATGGCCCACTCTGAGTGCCTGGATATACACACAGAGTTAATTCCACATTTCCATTTTTCATCCTGCCCTTTATCAGTATTCCACAACTGTTAGGAACAGTAAATCCCACGACCTAGGACTATTTTGCCATCGACCTACCTATAGCATACGTGCCACGAGTGTGAGATTCCTGCTCCTAAGCCATGCCCTCCTGGTGAGTGATCACAGGTTGGCTCAAGCACAAAGAGTACCGTAGAAAGCACTTAAAAACCCAAATAGTAAAAAATCACCAAAAACCAGCTATAACACCCTCAGGGTACACAGAGACAAACCTTTGATAAGGGCTTCTTCTGCTCGCAGTTGATGCCCCCAATGTAGACCATGTTGGGCATTACTGGGCGTGGATACTCAAACACAAAGTCGTATCTCATCAGCCAAACCGAGGCTTGGCTGAAGAGCTCCAGCATGGTCACTTCTCTGTGAAGAAACTCAGAGGCTAAGTTCTCGTATCTAAAATAAAACAGGTAGCAAATCAAATGCCCTGAAAACCCAACCAGGAGGTTCTTCACACGCTCCATGAAGGCCATGTGGTCTGAGCTGGACGTGAAGGTCCTCGGCACGTAAGAAAAAGGGCTGGGGCAGCGGGCGGCTTCGTAGTCCAAGGCACATGGGAGACCACGCATGAAGTAGACTGAAGGGAGGGAGAGATACTCAGCAATAATTGGCCCACATGGCAACACGGGATCCATCATAATGGCATCAAATTTGCTGTCCTGGAGGTACTTCATGAGTTCTTCGTTATATAGGAGATGTCGGCAAGCAGACGAGAACATCTCAGTCGCTTCTGATACGTTCTTGACCAAACCTGTGATTTTCTCTAGAAAGGGAGGGTTCTGAAAGGTGCTTTGGCCGATGGAATGGTAGAATCCATCCAAAAACTCCTGCGTGTAAGGCACCGAGTATGTTTTGATGGTGAAAGACTCCGAGCTCTTCATGAGCAAAGTGGCCTCAGGAACCACCGCGACGATTTCGTGCCCCTTCTCCCAGAGTCTCTCCAGAACCACGCGCATGCTCAGCCAGTGACTTCCATCCTGAGGCACAACCAGGAGCTTCCCACCTTCCGCCAGACTCCAGAAAGAAAGGGAAAGAACGAGCCCAAGGTGGATCTGGAGCCTCCCCGTGGCTGCCATGGGGCTGTCGGTGGGAGCAGAACCGAGCTGGTCCTTTCTTCCCCCGAGCAGCAGATGAAAGCAGAAACTATTGCACCTCATTTATAACCTGCTGGTCCTTAACCTTTACCTCTGCAAACTGTTGGCTAAGAGAGGTTGCTGGAGTTCAAAGATAATGTTATAAGCAGTGATAAAAGCCTGGATAAGGGTGCTATCGAGGGATCTAAGGCGAGAAGCATTTCCAAGCATTTATGTTACCTTAAACAACTCAGGACCCTCAGTGGGGTCCCTCATTAGTAGAAGTAGCTGTTGTTTGTAGAGGGATTTCTTTTTCTGGGTCAGGGATGTTTTGAGCCAGTCATGTGCCATATTCAAGTCAGGAATCAACTTTTATGGCCACTGAGCTTCTCCAGGGAGCTTATAACACAAGGGATGTGTTGTCCTAGTGACGTGAAAGACCCAAACATCCAACTTTCTCTCCTAGATCTTTGCTCAGAAGGGTGCCTGGAGTCCACACAGGACGTTCTGCTCTGCGTCATAAGCAGGAGCTGGCACGCCAAGCAGTGGTGTCACCAAAGTTTGGGTGACATATTAACCAAACACCTTTTCATCTGCACAGTGGTGGAGCAAAACACGCAGCTCTTGCACAAGAGGGGCCATAACAGTCCGTAGGGGAGTGGCCAAGTGTCTTTTTGAAGGCCATGATGCAGCAGAATATGCAGCCCTTGCTCAAGAGGGGCCATAAAAGCTCATAGGTGAGAGGTTACAGGCCAGATATTTTTTTGAAATTTCTTAATAGCTACTTTTCAAAGGAAGTTAATAAGGCTTGGCCGTGGTATGAGCCCATGGGAGGTCCAGGTAAGTGTCCTGAGCCACCAGAAGAAGGGGAGGACAGAGCTCTGCATGGGCTATGAAACGTTTTTAAGGAAAAACAAACAAACCCAAACCCAAACCGTGTTGAAATCCTGTCCTGTGTAACACTCAGCTGCAGCCTACAGCTGCTCGAGGGGAGGTGACAATGATGATGGAGCCAAACAAACTTCTCTGGGTAGTAGGGAGCAGTACAATCAGGGCCACAAGCAGCAGTTGGAGAGATTGGGGCTGGATGCTTGGGAAAAAACCTCTGAGGTTTGCATGGCTGACACCACCTGGTGTGGAGGATGGTCCCACTCCAAGGACTCGTTTAGATGGCCAAATCAGGTTGATTTGAATGGGATTTAAGTGCCTAATTATTCTTGAGAACCTGGGCTGCAGCTGCAGCAAATGATGTGATGGAAACCCAGCAGGTAGAGAGGGGTGAAGGACAGAGGCTCCTATTAACAGAGCAGTGTCCTTAGATGGGGAGAAGGTGTGAAGGCACATGAAAGCTTGTGAGATAAACCTAGAAAAGCAGATCTGTGCAGTCAGTGCTTGAAAGAACTCTCTGACCAAGCAGGTGTCATCAGCCTTGAAGGGACATTTCATGGAAAGGGAGAAGGTGGATGCCAAAAGTCTGCAAGTTTATAAAAGCAGAACAAGAAATGGTAGCTGAACAAGAGCAGCTGCTGGCAAGAGGAAAAAGACTCTTTCAGACCCCACTCAGCCAAGTACACTGGATCAGAGAGAGCTCAGAACAGCAGCAGCAGCCTCAGGAGTTGCCCTGGAGCAGGTGAGAGTGGTGGGAAATCTGGTCTGTGAAATGACTGCCTTTGCCAAAGGGACCTGGGGGTGGTAAGTTCCTCCCAAGGCCAACACTGAGGGTGTCCTAGGAGGTGCTAGGAGCTAAAAAAACCTTGAAGAAAAGCCTTAAGGCTAAAGGCACATTCATAAATGGCTTAATGGTTAAAAGTCACTGGATTTTGAGCAACACGCAACCGCCTTTCACGTGTGTGTGAATGACCCCAGGGGCTGAAGTCCACAAGTTCAGCTCGTTCCAAAGGCAAGGGTGAAAAGAGATTATCTATCAGGAGAAAGCAAAGCTCAAGTGCAGAGCTGAGGGCCAAGGCTGCACGCTGGTGCAGGGAACATCCATGCTCAGCTCTTCCCTAAGCCTACAAATCCTGGCCAGCAGATTTGGCCTCTTGTTAACCACCCAAATCCTTTTTAAATTCACAGGTTTTGCCCATGCAAAAAAAAACCCTGATGGGCTGGGTTGAATCCTCCTGAAAACTGAGATTTTAAAGCACGAGATTCAGCTTTTTCTGAAAAATAAGTCTTACAAGTCAATATCTGAAAAAAATTACTTCACAGGAAGAGTTATTCCTAAAACTAGAAGCTATGATGTGTGTGCAAACCTCTAAATATGGATGGCACACGTTTTTAAAAATCTGAAACAAAGCAAACATTCCTTTTATAAGAACAAAGTGTAACCCAAATTACACTTTCTTTTTATGATGGCAGTGGATACTTTAAATAAGGAGCATCACTGGCCTGCAGTATGCCAAAAGAATGCCACAAGCTGGAGAAATGGACCAACAGGACCCTTATGGAGGTCAGCAAGGCAAAAGCAAAGTTGGGATGGTGTAACCCCGAGTCCCAGACAGGCTGCACTCCATCTGGACAGACAGAAACTCTGCAGAAAACAACCCAGGGCTGGCCCTTGCAGCCACAGGGGCAGCAGCATCGTGGGCAGTGTGAGGAAGAG